CAGTCCAAAGTACTTAGAACAATAGTCAATGCCCCATATTATGTCACAAATAAGACCCTACACCATGACCTTAACATCCCATTTATCCTCGACATCATCCCATCCAGATTCTCAAACTTTCACCAGAACCTTATCCATCATCCAAATCCTCTAGCTCAATCCCTATCCAGCTCCAACCATCCCTACAATCCCCCTCGAAGGTTAAAACGGCAGTGGCCGCGAGATCTATTGTAATATGCTTCTGGAGTCCTGGCAATGGCCAGCTTCTCCACTCAAGTCCTGAGCATCTGTGGCTCTAGTGCCCTCCTTCAGCCTCCACTGGCTTTTAATACTAGTGATGCGGCTGGAAAAGTGGCACTGGGATCTCTGGAGTCCTGCTTTGCTTTCCACATGTGGAGAGAGAAGCCTGGCTCGGAGATTCCTGGGCGAATGTATATATTGTATATAGGTATGAATGTGTTTAGAAGTTGTTATTTTATTTTGTTTGTTTATTTATTTATTTATTTTTTTTTTAATTTTATTTATTAATTTATTTTTTTTTCCTATTGATTTACTTTTTTTTATAAGTATTATTTATTTACTTCTTATATTTATAGTTACTTCTGTATTACTTGTATATACTGTATGAATGAGAACTTCTAGCCTTAATACTTATAGCCCTCCAACAGTGGCTGATTGTATTATTATTCAATAAAAAAAAAAAATAAAATAAAAAAAAAAGGATTCTGGAATCAGCACTTACTTCATCTTTCCATCTCAGTTTCGGTCTGCGCACTTTTCTTTTCTACCTGGTTCCATGCTCAGCAGTTTCTTTGGGATTGAGGTCTCGTCCATCCGTACAATGTGTCCCATCCATCTCAGTTTAGCTATTCGGGTATATTTCACCACATCCGGCTTCTTGTTGAGGTTGGCTAGTTCTTGGTTGCGTCTAATTCTTTATGTCCCATGAGTAGAGGGGAATATTTGAAAGAGTGGTTGCAGAAATCAAGAAATACAAAAAACTTTATATTAACAATGGTTCGATTTTCAGCAGAAAAGTAGAAAATTAAAGTTTTGTGATTTGTTAAGTGTCACTATTTTTTAATAGGAAGTTATAACAAAAAAACTATTTAATTGAGGCAATTAACGATTGTTTCACTGTAAAATAGACAGAATTTATTTTAAATTAAAATAGAGTTTGATTTTTTATAAAACCATTTAAAGATGACTTTTTGAGCGCCTAAACTCAGCTAAGGAGCGGGGGAAGATGGGTGGTAAATGAAATGAAAATATTTTTTATTATCCTGGAACTGTTGTACCTTTAGGACAAATTACAGATACAGAATAAATGCCTGTGTGGCCATACATAAAATTAATTATTTACAATTATTATTAAGATTAAGATTTTGAAAAAAGAATAAAACAAAAAATAGAACTATTATACTAAAAACAGTCTAATATGTTTAATACAAACGTGGGAAAATAAAATAGCATAAGTAAAGCAAATCATTTCTGGGGGAACTTTAAAAGTTCTCTTATCTACATTTCATGATCAATCTGGTTGGGAAAGGAGTAGGTGGTTAAAATGGAGCGATTTAAATGAGGAAACTGATTGTACATGTCGAATATCGGGAGGGATGGTATTCCAGATGGAGACGGCTTGTATTATAAAGGATTTATCAAACGCTGCAGTTCGGTGGGGAGGTGGATAGAGGTCGGAGGTACGAGACCTAGTGAGACGGGATTGAATGGAATATTTGAATTGTAGGCTGTGAAAAATATAGGAAGGCCGCTGAGTTCTGATGAGAAAGGTGGCAAGGAAGTACAGACGGCGGTTGGATGGATAGAGCCACTTCAACTTGGTGTAATACTGGGTTATATGCGTATCTCTTGAGATTCCGAAAACAAAACGTATTGCGCAGTTCATTAGGCGTTTAAGTTTGGCCTCGAATTCTCCCGAGTGTCCGCCGTACACCAGACAGCCATAGTGGCTGTACCCGTGGTAGTGGTAGGGAACGGGTAGAGGTGGGGGAAGCACCTGGTTAAAAGGTGCACCCTCCTCCCATGAGAAAATTCTTGGATCTGTCACTGACACCTACATCACAACAGTTGATATTCAGGGGAGACTGGGTGGTGGAGGCGAGGTGGCCGAATGGGCTAACGCGTGTACACAGCACCGCGAGTTCCCTGCAACCAGATAACCAGAGTAATGAGTTATTAAAAAAGTACAATTTCACGTCCCGGTGCCGGAAGGGATTTTAAATTCCTGGGGCTTATCCCCCGGCCCGGAAAAAACCGTATAGCCTAAAAGGCAAGGAAGTCTAACCTTAATCTCTTCTTCAATTTCGTTTTAGCTAGTTATCGTAAACCCTAGATACCTAAACTGCTTTACCTGTTCAAACATATTACTACTATACATATTATTACTATACCATATCATCAGTAATATCGCCATTTTTACAGCTAACCATATATTTTATCTTATCCGTATTTATTTCGAGCCCTAGTTTTTCAGTTGCTTTCATTAACGTTGTCGTATTTAGTTTTATAGTTTCCACATCTTCGCCTAATAGTACCATATCATCCGCATAACACTGATAACTTTATTTCTTTTTAGCATCCATTTTCTTTCTTGTTTCCTTCATCTTCCTTTATTTTTTCATCAGCTATCAATTTTATTTTTTCTCGTGCCAATAGGAATTCTGTACTTGCTAGTTTTTCCTATTATGATTTCCTCACTACCGAAGGTGGAGAAACATTGTATTCGTTTGAGAGATTGAAATAACATTTTGTGCTCAGAATCGAAATTTTCTACTCGTATTTTACCTTTCCGAGATCAAATTTGGTTCGATGTCTGCCTGTAGCCATATCGATGTAAGGGGCATATGATCAATCACATTTTATCCAATTTTCATTCAAGAACATCCTCAGTGCTCAAACCACGCCCTTAAAATGACCCACATGTTTGGGTTGAAACGTTGGCATAAAAAAAAAAAATAAAAAAAAAAAAAGACTGCGTCCTGAATATTTATCACCCATATAAGTATGGAAACATATATAACTTTTCGGCTAAGCAGACGTTCAATATCTTTTCTTTAGATGGCGTACTTTCCTGGCATTTGCGTATTTCTCATCTCATATCCTATCATTTATTTTCTAACGTCTGCGTAGATTTCCTGTATATCTCGAGCCTGCCAATTGTCCTCAATGGTTTGAAATCTTTCTTTTGAGGAATTCCCTTCTTGCCGATCTTATAGTTTTGTTTGCCTTTTTCTTGGCAGCTGTGTACTTACCCTGAGCAACTTGATCAGTGGTAGTTAGGCAGAGGACTTTTATTTCCTTTAATTAATTATGGATTTCCTCTACTATCTTTTCACATGCTTCTGTGAACCACATCTTAGCTTTTTGTTCCTTCTGAATATCGATCAATTCCTCAGCTGTTTCTTTTAGTCCTATTTATATTTCCCTCCACTGTTGGTCCACCGTGAGACTATCCGAAGCAAAGGGTGCTAGGTGTACCTTAGAGGAAGAATTGTTGAAAAATCGCTATTTAACCCGTCAGGCTGCATCGATGAGGATAAAAATCTAGCTTCATTTTTTTTTTTTTCATTGATATTTACAACTGTATTATAAAAAAAAATACATCTAGTAAATGTACAATCAGGAATATAATAACGTAAAAGCGCTTGTTAAGAAACTACCCGCTGGTAGCACTCTAATTATAAATTTACACAAGAAGATCACGAGGCAATTTTATTTTCAGATGCCTCAGAGGGTTATCAGGAAACGAAAAGAGGGACCAAGGCTAGAAACGAGAGGATTCGGATGGTTATGAAGTTTATTATGGAAGGATAGGTATCTGGATTGGGCCAAATCGGAAACATATGGAACATTGAGGTCTTTATGGATTATTTTATTTGTGACAAAGTATTCGAGGTTATTACGAAAGATTTTGTATTGTAAAGATTGGATACGAGAGGAATTCGATGGTTTGGTGGAGCCCCATAGCTCAACTCTGTAAGTCCAAATAGGTCTTATTGTAGTCATGTATATCAATCTTTTGTAATTAATTGTTAGAGTGTTTGTCCAGTAAGTGCTGAAGTCTAGTCGGAAACGTCCAGCGGCTTCTTGTCGTTTCAGTCGTTATGAGGATTCCATGTCAGTAGTTTGTCCAGGTGGAGTCCTAGGTAACGGATTTGTTCAATTGAGATAAGCGGAAAATTGTTAAAGGATACTGTAGGACAAGAGATGATAGGTTTGTGGCACAGGGTGAAAGGTAATTTGTTGGGATTTATTGGAATTCCCCAGTTTTTACACCATTGTTCAAGGTTTGTGATATGTGATTGGAGAGTTTGGGATGCAGTTGATGGATCATTATTAACAGATAGGATACATGCGTGATCAGCATACGTGGTGATGACAGTGTCAGGATGCGTTGGGATGTCAGCTGTATAAACTATGTAAAGGATAGGGCCAAGGATACTACCTAGAGCAACTAGCTTACATTAAAAACCAATTATTAACTTCATGAGCTTAATCATAATCGTTATTGCTGTTTTCGAATTATAAAAACGTGTAATATCAATGATACAAAGTGTTTCTTTCGGTTAGCCGATTTTGACGAAAAAATTGCTGTTACATCTCAGTTTAAATACGCAATTGCAGATTCAATTTTTTTCTTCTCGTTTTTGGCCGAGACTATTCATATGCATACAGACACACACACACACACACACTATTACGTGTATTGAACTCTCGGTTTGTACGATTTTCTTGATTTAGAAGAAAAGTAAAGCTAGTAAAATGACAATGCACGCCATCTTCAGCCTGGATTGAGGTATGTGGAATGTGAGTTCAATTAGCCATCTTTCCACACCCGGTCGAATCTGCAAATCTGCGCTACTTCCAGAAAGGCATCGGTGACATATTGCTTGTTTTCAGCAGCTAGTCTGAACCTAGATGGTGTCTTATATTTTGAAAAGTGGCGCCCTAAAGGATTAAACAAATAATTAAATTGGGATTCGAATGGTTGCAATACTTGTAACAAGTATAATAATACACTTTCTTTAACATTATATTTTTTACATAAGATCATCTTTTATGATTTAATGTATTATTATTAGACAAAAAATTGCAGAATAATTGATGCAGATTTTTTCTTTTCAGCCAAAGTTGAAGTTTTGATTAATATTGACCGTCTTTCTAACTCCGCCTGCTATATTAATAGCCCTGTTATTAGAGCCTTGTTGATTATTCTGTAAGAATTTATCACCACCTTCTGAAGTCGCCTCACCTGTCAAACATTTTCATTTTAGTATAATTTATCAGAAATGATAGGTACTATGATTACCATATAAATTTATATCATATCTATCTAGACTAATATTTATTTATACGTTCAGGGTCTCTGAACGTTTTCTCTTGCGGCCACATTGATATCATGATGTAACAAGGCTTCTGATGACAAAACTATACAAATATATGATAAAAAGATAGATACAGAGTAGAAAATGAAAAATGTTTTAAAAGTTTTCTTATTTTAGTTTTGTATATAAGGATACAAATATCCAAAAAACACAAAAAACACACGAATTGGCTTAGGAAAACTTATGGCAGCCATAAAATTTTGTTACATTTGTTTGGATTCCCAACAATAAATTCTGAATGGTACATCGAAGCGAAAAAGTTACTCTTTGAAAAAATAAATTCTGGATCCGCTAGTGCTGTAGGCAATGAGGTTGTCACAGTACTCTTTCCCAGGTTTAGGTATATGGCAAACTTTTACCACCCTCCAACTAATATGGAGTTTGGCAAGTGTTAGAATCCTCTAAGTAATTCAAGTAGAAAATCCTGTTTTCCTGTTTAGCCTCTCCATCTTCATAAAACTACCAACTCTATTGGCTTTTACGCTGCCAATAATGCAAATATCAGTAGTGAAATTAGATATATTCTCATCTAACAATTGAAAGTCAAGCGAACGTCAACATGCCACAGATCATATAGCCCTGGATGTGAGAAAAGTTTTAATTTTTTTAACTTGTATATATGGATTTAGACACGTAACAAACAAAATTGCTAACGTAGGCCACCAAGGGAAAACTTTTCAGCCAAAGAAGATTTGGCGACGATGCATCAAAGCGAAAAAATATTCTTTAATAAATTAAATAACGTTAGATTTTGCCTCTGACTAGTACATAAAAGTTATAATTTGGTTACGCGGTAAGGTGTAAACCCACAGTCAAGCAACACTGATTTTTACCAAATTTGTCAAAAACTGAGACTAATTACTATAAATGGCTCTGTAACATGGAAATGATTTCTCTTTGAGGAAAAACCTCTAAAATCAAAGTTGTAGAACATCAAATTTTGCATCAACTGTGTACCAACTAATTTAATGTAGGTCACTTACTGCGAACAAAATCGGTAAACAAGATGGTTAGAAATTGGTAATGAAGATAAACGTGATTCTCAATATTTCAACAGTATGGGTGTCTATTGTACTGAGTTATTTTTGTTTTAGAGTCTGTTACATGCAGTATATGCCTCTTTTCCATCTCTCAACAGCAAAGGATTTTGTTAAACGTTTTGTCGAAAGAAACCGAATTTTATAAAGGAATAACGAATCCCGATTCGAGATATATAATTGGCCTACAATAAAAATCTCATTGATCAATTAAAAATTTGATTCTCTACAACTTTGATTAAAAGGCTTTTTCCTCTTAGAGAACTCATTCCCATGTTACAGAGCTATTTATAGTAATTAGTCACAGTTTTTGACAAATTTGGTAAAAATCAGCGTTGGTTGACCGTGGGTTTATACCTTACCACGTAACCAAATTATAACGTTTATGTACTAGTTAGAGGCAACATTTAACGTTCTTTAATTTACTAAAGAATACATTTTTCATGTATCAGTTAGGACATATAGGAGAAAAAATCTGACTTTTTTAGCTGTTGAAAGTTTTCCTTTGGTGGCTCGCGTTGCCAATTTTGTTTTCAACATGTCTAAACCCACATATACAAGTTAAAAAATAAAAACTTCTCTCACATTCGCAATTTTTTTTTTCACAATGGATTTCCCGTTTCGATCCTCAAATTATTATTGGCCTAATATTCTTTAAATCAGCCGCCATTTTTAAAAGCAACGGCAGACAAGGTTCTTTTTGCTCAGGACGATTTTTGGGCCCTGACTCCAGGACTAGAAGCCTATAGCTTAGATAGAATCGTGTTTGGATGTCCAACTGATCACTGTCCCATCTGCCTGTTTTGTTGGTTACATTAAAAAGTATGTGAGTTTGAAAGTCTTCGCGGATCTCTCAACTCCCAAGTTCGTCATTCCACCAGGAGACATTCCTCTTGTACCTAATTAAATAAACCTAAATAAACGTACACTGTTATAATCAGTGTAGGACCTTTTGATTTGATTGCGTGCCTAATGTTATATCTATTATGAATCTAAAATTCAGCATGTTAAATTCTTCAAAAGATACTCACCTCTCTGGTTTGTAATGTTCTTTTCCTGTTGGTTTTGGGACGTATTAGCATCTTGTATCCATATTCCCTCATCTATCCCCTCAATTCCGTCCTTTTCTTGCTGGAGATTACCATTGGAAACTGGATTTGTCTCGTCAAGCTCCCCTTCAGATAGGGAAAATTTAACTGTTATCGGGTTTCTGAAACAGTAATGCCACAAAGACAACATTTTTAGAAGCACTGCTATAGTAGTGTGCCCAGGCATAGCCAGTTCCTTTATCTCATCGTGAAATAAGTTTTTGTATTTAAATAACACTAGTTTCAAAGTTGAAACTATTTGAAATAGAATAACAGTTACTGTGAGGGGGAGGGGAGGTTATATTGGAGGATTGGAGCTGCGAACTATGACTGGTGACAACAATGAGTTGAGGAAACCGTAGGAAGGTTCGAAAAATGGTGAAAGTTAGAACTGGTGAATGTCTCCCATGTTAGCACTACAGTCTGTGATAAAGAAGCCAATGGAAAAATACACCTTTATTAGGATAAATCCCCACGAGCAGGTAACACATTTACTGACACATTTCACATGCAAGCTAAACTACCTTGTGTAGTTCAGTAATGAGGGGTCACTGTCATTATCGATTTCCTATCGACCTTAAGAATCGATTGGCATAGAGAAATTATATAGTTGTTTCTTTTCAGTGGGGATATCTTGCTAGGACGTCAAAGACTTGTTGGGAGTTGGACTATTTATTGCCTGTGTTATTATTTTATCATATATTTATCATATATTATATTATATCATATATTATTCATATATTATCATATCATCATATCATATATTATTTTATCATATTTATTTCTCGAGATAACTAATAAGTATCATTATATAGAAATATATCTAGCTAGCATGCGCATGTTGTTATTCTTATTTTTTTTTTTTTGTTTATTGTGCTTGTATATTGTTTAACATGGTTTTATTGTTGATAACTTGTAAGTGTATTGTTATCAGAAGGAAGAAGAAAAAATAGAAAAATAAAATTTAATGTCCGTGTGGATTGATAGGTATGCTATGTACGAAGCAACCCTATGTAGTAGTGCAGCATTACTTTTAATAAAGTATTTCTCTCTGTGACATCTTGACTTCAATAAGCGCCGCCATAAAAACATTCAAAACTAAACGAACAAAATTTCTCTTTCCCCTACCGACCCAATTTTATGGAATTGAATTTGTATCCTCCTGATATAAAACCATCTCAAGAAATGATTCTCAAATGTTAACTATACACCCGTAAACGACGGGACATCAGCTAGTAATTTAATATATTAATGGTGAAACAAAGAACTGTTTAAATATCATATTTTTCAATTCTACAAACCTTCGTTGTACAGCTGGAAAAATGTTTCCCATCCCACCCTCTATATTAGAAGCCGTGTTATTGATGCCTGCTTGGCTTATCTGTTGTGTACTTCCGCCACCTCCTGCCGCCACTCTTCTATTTTGACCTGCTCTGTTAAAAGTGAAGGCAATGGATAAGATGTACTATACTGTACCAAGGAATGAATATTTAGACAGAAGTAGAGAAATAGGTAGGAGTTTATACGGATTTTTTTTATCCTACAAACCTCTGTCGTTGTCTTCTATTCTCAATGTTAAAATTTAGTCTAAAAGGGAAGTTTCTCATCCCTCCTTCTATGTTGGTAGCCGTGTTGTTGATACCTCGTTGACTTATCTGTTGGATATTTCCGCCACCTCCTGACTTCACCTTACTTTCTTCACCTATTCTGTTAAAAGTGAATGGTTATTATATAAGGTATATTACGGCACATAACAAATGAATGCTTTGTTTACATAATTGGTATAACAGGGTGTCTACCAGAGATGGGCAAATGCTACTCTTGAGTACGAAGTATTTTACTCAAATACTAATCCTTTTTTGAGTACCAAATAATTTAATTACTACTTCAGTTGATGTCAAACGATTAATAGAAGTAGTGATTGAATTCCCAATATTGATTTGAGTAAAATATTCGGTAATCAAAGTAGCATTTGCCCATCTATGGTGGGTACTATACTTTGACATTTCCCTATTTAATGATAGTTTTTCCTGACCAATATGTCTGGGGAAACAAATATTAAAAATAAATAATTTAAATCTAAATTTATTTATTACATATGAAAGAAAATTGACTACAAAATAATATGAGTAAAAAAAAAATAGTCATTTAAATAACAAATATATAGATTTAGAGGAAGCATTTTTTTAAATTTCTTAAGGACTTTTATTTTAGAAAACTAAACTTTTAGTAATTTATTTTCAAGAACTGAGAGGAGGTAGAAGTTAATACTTATCATATATTTGTCTCTGATAAAACAAAGTGAGCTACGGGGAATTCTAATATCGATGTAGTTATCATAAGTATTTTTTTATTCTTTTTTATATAAATATCTTAATTAATATCGATATGATATTAACTGGTAATCCAATATGACATTTTTTGTTAGTAAATGCTCTTTTGAGGAATACCACGAGTCGATGAATTGCACCAGTTTGCAATCGATGAATTGCACCACATGAATTAACTAAAAATATAATGCAAAATTTAAATAATATATAAATATCTATCGTTTGCCAATATTCATTGTCACTCCCTACTCTTAGCGTTAAATTTATATTTCTGTTTAGTACAATAGTTAAAGTATGGAAGAGCAAGATGTTTTTCCTTGGAAGTGAAAATCTATAAATACTCCCAGGGGAGACAGAAGAGTCCAATTGTAAACTGGCTCAAGAATTAAACTTAAGTCAACAATTTTAACAGTCCAAGTCTATTCGAGACAGCTTGCACAATTTTATAAATCTTTTAAATAAAAAAAAAAAAACACGATCTACCAACAACGAAATCGGTTCTTCCCAATATTCCGCTATCAGGATTAAGGCAGATTTTATTCGAAAAGTCTAAGGAATATTCAAAATCGATTCGCGGTCCATTTGATGTACCTCTTTTTATTAAAGAAATTCATTACTATTAAAAAAAAAAAAAATGTCCATATATATATATTACAAATAGTAAATAGTATTTGTAGGTTTTTATTTTTTTTTTAAAACACTGTTGTTTTAAGTCCATTTTACTTTTTATCCATTAATTTTATTCATTATCCTTTTTGGATTTCAATATAATGACCAGTGCCGTTATATACAGTAAAAGACTGATGAATATAACGACCGTGGTCATTTATGACGACGAAGTTTATCACAAAAAGGCAATTCATTATAAACGACATCCACTTTATATTTAGTAACAATTTGAAAAAAAATATTTAAGTACTAAAAAAATTATCTAACTTAAACAATTTTTCCCTGTTTTGAAAACTTCCTGACTTAGCCCATTTTTCCAGGTCGGTCTCCAACCTGTATTAAAACACAGGAATGACGAAAACCTCAATTATTTTCACACCTCCATCTTTACATCAGCTGTTCCTATCCTTATGCCCTCTACCGTCTCAGGCGAATACTACTAATTTTCTACAAACGTTTCTACTTTTTAAATAATTATATATTTTTATTTAACTAAACCGTTATTAATAGTTCAAATAACATATTTTTCAATTCTACAAACCTCCATAATGCCTCAGAGAAAAAATTTCCTATTCCATCCTCTATATTAGTAGCCGTGTTACCGATGCCTTCTTGATTTATCTGTTGAATATCACCGCCACTTCTCGATATCACATCACTATTTTGACCTGTTCTGTTGAAAGTAAAGGTATTAGGTATGGTTTATTATGATATATAAGAAATGAATATTTAGGATTTACTTTATTTAAACAATTAGTGTTCAAATATAGCTATGGCGAAAATCTGAATTATTTTCGCAATAACCCCATCTTTGGAGCAGCTATTCCTATCTTTTGTCCTCTACTATCTCAGGCGAATACTACTGCTTTTCTATACACGTTAATATCATTTAAATAATTATATTTTTTATTTAACAAAATCTTTCACAATTTTATATATTTGTAAAGAAAGAAAGAAAACTTCATTTTATTCTGGGACATCGAGAGCTCTAAATATAATTATAATGAACAATTTAGTGACATATGTCAGACATAAGAAGTTGATTGAGACTTGAGATTAAAATGAAAGAAGGCACAATTTAACATCTGAGTTAAAAATAAATATATTTACACAATAGAATAATAAATAGGTATCTGTAAGGTAACATTAAAATGAGACTAAAATCTCTAAAATACAAAAATATTATTTTTACATATTTTCGGAAGATTGATTACTGAGGAGATGGAATATAAATGGTCTTTAAATGAGGTTAAGGATGAGGATTTGCGTATGGAAGTAGGTAGGAAATTCAAGAACAAGATAGTATGTATGAGAAAGTTCTTTTTTTAAAGGAAATGGTTCTATGAAAAGGAATAAACAGGTTTGTGGGCTGAGATCTCGTGTTGATCAAATGGACAGAGGAAGAAGAAGAAAACAGATCAAGAAGGTGAGAAGGTTTTTTGGTTGTAAAGGTTAGGAAAAGGAAAACAACTAGGAAATATTGCCGCCGGAAAACTGGATAGAGCCACTTCAACTAGGCATACCAACTGGAGACGTCTGAGTGGCTGGGGACTCCAAAGATGAATCTAATGAAACAATTTATTAATCATTTCCATCTGATCTCAAGTCTACCAGACATTTTACGAGGCAGCCATAATCGAATTGAGGAAACATGAGAAAGGAATATAAGAGCTCATGGATTTTTAGTGGCATACAATCACGGAATCTTAGGAACTGTTAGAAATAGAATTTCGGCTGATTTGGGAAATATGATTATAACAGGAGAGGTATTGATCGAAAATAATTCCAAGATTTCTTACGGAAGTTGGAAATGAATCGGTAATAACTGTGGCATTGGTTGTATATGGTTGTACGGCATTGTGGTAGAGTAGGGAATAATAAGGAATGAAAATTATAAGATGCTTGGAAGTAATGAGAATGGTTTTTAGCCCTGGAGCCAGAGCTCGAAAATCGACCTCATCGCAGGCGAAGGTTTGATTGTAAATTACGAAAGTGTATGTTATTCTGAGTGAAAAGAACCTTGTCTGCCCAAGAACCTTGTCCAGAGCAGCTGCTTCAAAAAATGGTAGCTGATATGAACTATATTAGGCCAGTAATTTCAGTATCGAAACGGGAAATCCATTGTGAAAAATGTTGAAAAAGTTTTTATTTTTTAAAATTGTATATACGGACTCAACAAAGTTTCTAATTCAGGTCACCAAGGGAAACCTTTTTGCAGTAAAAAAAAAAAAACAACAGAATGTTTCAATATTTTTTTGTTTTATCACATATAACTCCTAAATGATGCATCAAAGAGAAAAAGGTACTCTTTAATAAATTAAATAACGTTAAAGTGCGGGTCGAACGAGTACATAAAGTTTATAATTTGGTTGCGTGGTAAGGTATAAAATCACGGTCAAGCAACGATGAACTTTACCAAATTTGTCAAAAACTGAGACAAATTACTATAAATGGCCCTGTAACTAGGATTGGACATGAGATCTCTAAGAGGAAAATCCCGTAGATTCAATGTTGTAGGCAATAAAATTTTGCGTCTGTTGAATAATAACATTTTCATTGTAGGCCAATTATATATCTGGAATCGAGATTAGTTATTATGACATTCGGTATCTTTCGACACATCGTTTATCAAAATCCTTTTCCACCAGTTGAGAGGTGGAAAAGAGGCTTATACAGCATGTAATAAGCTCTAAACAAAAATAAGTGAGTAGAATAGACAGCCATACTGTTGAAATATTGAAAATCCGTTCACCTTCATTTTCAATCTCTAATCTTCTACAGATTACCGATATTTTTTTTTCGGAGTAAGTGAACTTGATTAAATTAGTTACTACTCAGTTGACGCAAAATGAGATGCTCTACAACTTTTATTCTCTGGAGTTTTCCTGTTAGGGAACCCATTTCCAAGTTATACGGCCATTTATAGTAATTTGACTCATTTTTTGACAAATTTGGTAAAAATCAGCGTTGGTTGACCGTGGTTTTATACCTTACTGCATAACCAAATTATATATTGTTTGTACTCGTTTGAGGCACAATTTAACGTTCTTTAATTTATTAACGAGTACATTTTTCTTTTTAATACATCATTTAGGAGTTATAGGTGAAAAACAAAGAAATAACAAAAAAAATCTATTTTTTTTACTGTAAAAAGTATTCCCTTGGTGGCCCGCGTTAGCAATTTTGTTGTTTACATGTTGAACCCATATGAACAAGTTAAAAATCACATTTTTGCAATGGATTTTTTCAATCCTCAAATTACTGGCCTGATAATCTTTAAATCAGACGCCATTTTTGAAAGCAGCGTACAAAGCCAGACAAGGTTCTTTTTACTCACAATAACACCCACTCTTGTAATTTACAATCAAACCTTCGCCTGCGATCAGGTCGATTTCTGGGTCCTGGGTCCAAGGCTATTTGGTCTTCAAAAAGTTCAACTTTAAATCATTGCTGCCTTCCCATGTGTTAATACTATCTATCCTTCCTATAGCCGTCGGATCGCCTCAATCATCTCGGTCGGATGAAAGGAAAGGCATTAGCGGTGAAACAGAGAACAGTTTAAAAAGCATATCTTTCAATTCTACAAACCTCCGTTGTACCGCCGGAGAAATATTTCCTGCTCCACCCTCTATATTAGTAGCAGTGTTATTGGTGCCTTCTTGGCTTATCTGTTGGAGATTACCGCCACTTCCTCCAATCACATCGCCACTTTTACCTGTTCTGCTGAAAGTGAAGGTGTTAGATAAGATCTATTATAGTACATAAGGAATGAATATTTAGAATTTACTTTGTTTACTCAATTAGTATTGTCAAACAAACCTGCATTAGTTACAACACCTCCATCTATCCAGCACCTATTCCTACCTCTTATATCTCAGGCTAATACTATTGCGTTTCTATATTTTAATTAATTATTAAGTGTCTATTTTTAAATAATTATATTTTAGTTAACTACATCTTTCATAATTTAATATATTTGTAGTAGTGGTAAAACAGAGAACAGTTTAAAAAGCATATTTTTTTAATTCTACAAACCTTTGTTGTACATCCGGGGAAATGTTTCTTATACCACCCTCTATATTAGTAGCCGTGTTACCGACGCCATCTTGACTTATCTGTTGGGTACCACCACCTCCTGGCAACACCTTACTACCTTGCCCTGTTCTGTTGAAAGTTGAGGTATTAGATAAGGTTACTATGGTATTTATGGAATAAATATGTAGACTGAAATAGAGAAACAGATAGTAGTTTATCTGGATTTTTTTTATCCTACAAACCTCAGTCTTTGTCTTCTATTCCCAAAGTTAAAAAGTAGTCCATAGGGGATATTTCCCATTCCACCCTCTATATTAGTAGCCGTGTTATTGATACCTCGTTGACTTATCTGTTGGATATTACCGGCACGTCCTGCTACCCTTCTATTTTGACCTGCTCTGTTAATTAGATAAGATTTACTATGGTATACTAAGGAATGAATATTTAGACAGAAGTAGAGAAATATGTAGGAGTTTATATGGATTTTGTTTATCCTACAAACCTCTGTCGTTGTCTTCTATTAAAATATAGCAATGGCGAAAACTTGAATTATTTTTGCAACAACTCCATCTTTCCATAACAAAAGCAACTTAAATGTAAATGCAGAAAAAAATATATATAAGCTTTAATAAATAAATTAAATTCTTCTAAAGCCCATCTAAACCTATATACGATATTTACATTTGCCAGAGACTCAGAGTCTGGCTTTGTCTTCCACATGTGGAAGGCAAAGCTAGCTAGGCTTCAGGTCTCAGCGTTTCTCTTCCAGCCGCGTTACTTGACTAAAAGCCAGTGGAGACTGAGAGAGGGCCCTTGAGTCACAAACATACAGGCATTAAGTGGAGAAGCTGATCATTGCCAGGTCTCCATTATTATATTTATAAAAGGTCTCGAGGCAACTGCCGGTTGGACTTTCGGTTATAGGAATGGTTGCGGTCTACATAGGAATTGAGCTAGAAGATTGGATGATGTCGAGGACATATGGGATGTTAAGATCATGGTGTAGAGCCTTGTTTTTGACATAATATGGAGCGTTAACTATTGTTCGAAGTACTTTGTACTGGAAGGATTGAGTAGGTTTGATATTGGAAAATTTAGCTGTCTCCCACAGTTAAAATCTGCAGGTTCAGATAGGTTTCAGAACTGTCTTGTAGGATTGATGGGCAGGATCTGCGTCGGAGAGTGAAGATGAAATTTTTACATTTTGATTCATAAACATGCGCCAATTGTTGCACCACAGCTATATCAGGGACAGGTTTCTTTACAGATCGAGGGATGCAATTTCGGGATTCTGTGTGGGAGGAGAGGATGGTGGCATCATCTGTAAATGTCACTAGGAATGTATCGGGATCTGTAGGGATATTATCAGTGAAGATAATATATAAAATAGGATCCAAGACACTGCCTTGTGGGATGCAGACCTCAACTGGGTAACAACTGCAAAATTCTGAACCAAAATTATTCATAGGCTTACCTGGTTTATAAAAGGCGGTAATTATGGAGTGTTTCGACATCAGAGGAACGTTAATGGTGCGGAGGATACAGTTATATAGATATGTAAGGAATAGGTATAATGTTTTTTTTTTTGGGAAGCTGCTTAAGGATCTGGAAAGTTAGGAGATCGCATATTGGGGACTTTTAAGCTTTTAGGTTGATTATAACGAGGTCTGGAAGAAGGTGATTGGTGAGATAGAGAAACGCGTGGAGCTCAGTGCTGACTATGAGGAATTTTACCTCAGAGGGGTTAACAGTTGGAGGCACGGCGACAGTGGGATGGGTGAAGAGAGGAATTCTTTAACTTCGGCAGTGTTGGGGGGATACAGTTCAGGATCGGGGTGAATGTGTTAGATAGATGTTAATGAATTTTTCTGATCTATTCTCATATGACGAATTCAGGAACGATCATCACGGTGAAGTGGATGGGAAATGGAATGTGATTTATGGATTTTTTTAGTTACTTTCCAGAGTGAGTTATCAAATTCAGATGGTGAGAAATGGTAGGAATCGACGAATTGAGATCTATAGGTAGCTAGTTTCTTTGTTAATTTTTTGGAGTAGTAATTATATGACTTCCGATCTTCAAGAAACCTAGTTCTTTGCCAGAGGGTCCTAGAGTATCGTTTGGTGTGGATCAAGTCCATAAGGTCTTGACGTAAGGAATTTATTTTGCGGTGTTTCAGAGTCAGATGAGGATGTACTCCAAACTGCTTGTTGCATCAGGGTAATAAAAAAGGTCTTTTTAAAGAAAATCTTATGTCAATATTATCGATCAGTACTGGACAAAAGAGGTTCCAGTTAACTGGTCCTCTGATAAATGAAGATGGAAACGATTTGGGAATCGATATAGCAGAATGACATAAAAGTAAAGGATTGTGGTCTAAGGAAAAATCGTCGATCCGAAAATGGAAAAATTAAGGGGACCGAGAACGAAGAGAGAGATAGTTGGGGTGATGAGGGATTCGAACTCTGAGATTAATGATATCAGTAGGCTAGTGAGTTCAGAAGAGTATATTTGTATTAGCGGTGAAACAGAGAACTGATTAAATATCATATTTTTCAATTCTACAAACCTTCGTTGTACCTGCGGGGAAATATTTCCTGCTCCACCCTCTATATTGGTAGCCGTGTTGTTGATGCCTTCTTGACTTATCTGTTGAACACTACCGCCACTTCCTCCAATCACCTCGCTACTTTTACCTGGTCTGTTGAAAGTGAAAGTGTTAGATAAGGTTTATTATAGTATATGAGGAATGAATATTTAGGATTTGCTTTTTTTACTCAATTAGTATTAAAATATAGCAATGACAGAAACCTGAATTATTTTCACAACAACCCCATCTTTCCAGCAGAATGCTACTTTATTTTTATATTTTAATTAATTAATTATTGTATTTGTATTTTTTAAATATTTATAGTTTTTAATTAACTAAAATATTCATAATTTAATATATTTATAGTTGTGGTGAAACATAACACAGTTTAAATAGCATATTTTTCAATTCTACAAACCTTCTTTGGACCGCCGGGGAAATGTTTCCCTTTCCACCCTCTATATTAGTAGCCGTGTTGTTGATGCCTTCTTGGCTTATCTGTTGGATGCTACCGCCACCTCCTCCAATAGCCTCGCTACTTTTACCTGGTCTGTTGAAAGTGAAGGTATTATACAAGGTTTATTATGATATATAAGGAATGAATGAACAATGCATAAGGAGTTATCGTGGAGCAGACTGTGATTCGGACCATACTCTGATTAGAATCAAACTCTGTCAGAGGCTGAAGCGAATCCACAGAATTGGGAACCAACTGGAAAGACAGAGTTACGAAGTCCGTAATTTGAAAAACCCTACAGTACAAGCTGAATTTCAAATCGAGCTGAGAAATAAATTCGAACCCTTGAACTCGGAAGGTCTCACGGTTGACCAACACTGGAAGGCACTAGAGTCAGGGCTAAAAGAAACAGCTAAGGGAGTAACAGGGGTTCAGGAAAAAAGAAAAGCCAAGAAATGGTTCACAGAAGCATGCGAAAAGGCAGTGGAGGAAAGAAGAAAAGTCATCTGCTTAAAAACTGATCAAGCTATGCTGGACAAATACAAAGCCGCCAGGAAAAAGACAAACAAAATAATAAGAACAGCCAAAAGAGAATTCCTCAAAGAAAGATTACAAACTTTTGAGAAAAACTGGCAACCTCGAAATATATGCGAATTCTTCGCAGATATCAGGAAAGAAAGGGTAGGATATAAAGCGATAAATACACAAATGCGAGGGAAAGATGGCAAATTGACGGCATCAAAAGAAAAGATCATAAGCATCTGGAAGGTCCAGCAGCTGCTTAACCAAGGGCACCCCACAAACCAAGAAGACATGGACCACACTGAGGACATCGACCCACTTGAGGTTGGAAAACCAGATATTCTGGATGTGGAAATAGCTATCGGCAGACTTAAAAGAAGAAAGGCTCCAGGGATGGACAACCTACCATCAGAATTGTTCAAGGATGGGGGAGAAGAACTCAGAGCCAAGCTGTTAGATCTAATCCAGAAGATATGGGAGAAGGAACGGATACCAGAAGCATAGAACACAGGGTTGATATGTCCTATCCTGAAGAAGAGCTCCATGCATGAATGTGGCAATTACAGAGGCATAGCACTTCTTCCGGTCGCCTATAAAATAATGACTAATTTTCTGTTAATAATTGGTAATTGGTTGACTGTCGTGGATAATGAAGAGAAGAATAGTTGGGGTGTTCAGTCAAAAAGGAAGGCAAAAATAAATAATATTTATTTTTTACATATGCCGACGTTTCGACCTGAAGTTCAGGCCTTCATCAGGGCTAAGAAAATAACCAGATAACAAGGTATGAGAAACATAAGTAATGATGGTAAAGAAGATAATAAAAAATAAAAAATAAAATTAAAAAAAATAAAAATTATTAGAAAAATAAAATAGATAAATATAAAGTAAAACGAAATTGTTAGAATAATGACTAAGAACTAAGAGATAAATAATAAAAACCGTTACAAAGTGTGGAATGATGAAGTAGGCATAATAAAAAAGGGGTGACAAAAGTGTTACAATGGGAATCTTAGAATAAAATGTAAAACATAAAACAGAAATATAAAGTTATATAAGAACTGAAAATAAATAGTAAAATTAAAACATTGAGAATGGAGTAGTTAGATAGAAAATTGAGATATTGTAAAGTCTATCAAGATGTACAGACAATGTATAATATAATAAAGAGTTAAAAACAGAGAAAAGGAATGAAAGGAAGGAGGGAAGAAATTGAGAAAGCTGAAATAAGAAATAAATAAAAGAAGTACTACCTGTCTCCTTAAGTGTGGCAGGGAGAATAAAAGTCATAAACAAGGGAGGGGGAGAGAGAAGAGATGTGTAGGTGGCGTCATCTCTAACGGTTATCCGACGAAGTTTGAACTAAAGTGCTGGAAGCCTAAATAGGTCATCTCTACGGTTATCTGACGAAGTTTGAACTAAAGTGCTGGAAGCCTAAATAGGTATGAGAGATATATTATTCAGAAAAATTATGGAAAATTGAAGGAAAGTTAATAGAAGGTGAAAGAAAAATTCAAAAGAAAAATAACTATTGAGTAATAAGAGAGAAAAATTGAAATAAAAATATATCATATATATATATATATATATATATATATATATATATATATATATATATATATATATATAAGGAAGTTGTCAGCAAAAAGGAAAGGAATATAACTATGAATGTTTTAATAAATTCAGAATTTGTGAGTAGGCTAAAGAAAAGTTCTGTTTGTCAGATTTAAGATTCACTGTCTTTGGTTGAAGCTGGATGTGGAGGGTTTCAGAAATGAGTCGTTTGTCATGATTGAGAACTGTGGCAAGGATGGATGTTTTGTCGAAATCAAATGAATGATTGAGGAAAAGAGAATGTTCGGATAATTTGGACATTTACTCTGGACTTCCAAATTATCCGAACATTCTTTCCTTTTTGCTGACAACTTTCTTATATATATATATGTATATATATATATATATATATATATATATTATATATATATATATATATATGTATGTGTGTATATGTATATATATATATATATGTGTGTATATATATATATTTATACGTGTATATATGTGTATATATATATATATATATATATATATATATATATATGATATATTTTTATTTCAATTTTTCTCCCTTATTACTCAATAGTTATTTTTCTTTTGAATTTTTCTTTCACCTTCTATTAACTTTCGTTCAATTTTCCATAATTTTTCTGAATAATATATCTCTCGTACCTATTTAGGCTTCCAGCACTTTAGTTCAAACTTCGTCGGATAACCGTTAGAGATGACGCCACCTACACATCTCTTCTCTCTCCCCCTCCCTTGTTTATGACTTTTATTCTCCCTGCCACACTTAAGGAGACAGGTAGTACTTCTTTTATTTCTTTCTTATTTCAGCTTTCTCAATTTCTTCCCTCCTTCCTTTCATTCCTTTTCTCTGTTTTTAACTCTTTATTATATTATACATTGTCTGTACATCTTGATAGACTTTACAATATCTCAATTTTCTATCTAACTACTCCATTCTCAATGTTTTAATTTTACTATTTATTTTCATTTCTTATATAACTTTATATTTCTGTTTTATGTTTTACATTTTATGTTTTACATTTTATTCTAAGATTCCCATTGTAACACTTTTGTCGTCCCTTTTTGATTATGCCTACTTCATCATTCCACAATTTGTAACGGTTTTTATTATTTATCTTTTAGTTCTTAGTTATTATTCTGACAATTTCATTTTACTTTATATTTATCTATTTTATTTTTCTAATAATTTTTATTTTTTTAAATTTTATTCTTTATTATTTATTATCTTCTTTACCATCATTACTTATGTTTCTCATACCTTGTTATCTGGTTATTTTCTTAGCCCTGATGAAGGCCTGAACTTCAGGTCGAAACGTCGGCATATGTAAAAAATAAATATTATCATTTATTTTTGCCTTCCTTTTTGACTGAACACCCCAACTATTCTTCTCTTCATTAATTTTCAGTTAAATCGGATATATCCGTATTATGAAAACATAATAGGCGACCATCAAACAGGATTCAGGAGAGGGAGGAGTACGCTAGACCTGATATTCATCCTGAAACAAGTACTTGAAAAACGATGGGAAGTAGATCAGGACGTTCATGCATTATTTGTCGACTTCAAATCAGCCTATGACTCCGTTGACAGAAACTGTCTCTGGAAGATCATGACTGAGCTGGGTGTGGGCGGGGTAGCCGAATGGGCTAAAGCGTGTGCACTGCACCGCCGTTGCCTGACAACCTGACATATGAATTAAAGATATAAAAATAGGCACGAGTTCGCGTCCCGGTGCCGAGGGAGTCTTTTAAATCCCCGCCCACACTCCCTGGCCCGGGAAAATCCCGTATAGCCTTAACGGCGAGGAAGAGTATGACCAAAAAAAAAAAAAAAAAAAATGACTGAGCTGGGTGTTCCCGGGAAATTAGTGAGGTTGACGAAGGCGTGTACAAATGATCCTAAATGCAGGGTACTAATACAAGGAGAAGTATCTAAAGCCTTTAAAGTACGAACGGGTTTGAGGCAGGGAGATGGACTCTCGCCGATGCTGTTCAACTTAGCGCTAGAGAAAGTAATAAGAATAACACCACGCGAAGATGGAGGGGTGCACGTTGGAATGAAACATAAAATCCTAGCATATGCCGATGAAACAGCTGTCCTCGGAAGTAATCAAGAGGATATTGAGAAACTCGCTCGGACTCTATTAAAAGAAGCAGAGCAAATCGGACTACAGGTCAATGTAGATAAAACGAAATACATTATAGCCGAAACATCCACCGTGATAACATGATCTGCGTGGACTCTAAGTCATTCCCAAAATTAGACAGACCTCGGCTCCACAATAAGCTCAATAAATGATCAACTAACAGAGATAGACCAGCGAATAACAAGTGCGAACAGATCTTTCTTCTCTCTTTCAAAGGTATTGAAATCCAGAAAAATCTCCAAAAATCTCAAAATAAGGGTATACAACGCAGGGATTAAGAAAGTTCTGCTGAACGGTTGTGAAACCTGGGCTCTAACTGGCACATTAGAAGCCAGAATTGAGAGATTTGAAAGAAAGAAAAGTTGTACTTAGGATAACATGACTTATATGGGACCAGAACCTTGACACATGGAGGAGAAGGAACAATAAAGAACTGTTGAAAGAAATTGGTCAGTCAATATCTCATGACATGAAGGCAAGGAGGTTAAGATCAATCCATCAGGACTCCTCTACACGATAATGAATGCCAGAGTAGTAGGCAAGAGACCAGGTGGGAGGCCAAAAACCAGATGGATAGATAGGATAAACAAAGATAGGGCTGAGCTTCATGCAGCAAACTGGAAAGCAGTAGCCCAAGATAGGCAGAGGTGGAGAAGGCTGGTTCAGGCGGCCAAAGATCTACAAGGTCTGTAGAGCCAACCGAAAAAAAAAAATAAGGAATGAATATTTACGATTTGCTTTGTTTACACAATTAATATTAAAATATAGCAATGGCAGAAATCTGAATTATTTTCACAACAACCCCATCTTTCCTCCACCTATTCCTACCTTTAGTCCTCCACCGTCTCAGGCAAATGCTACTTATTTTTCTATATTTTAATTAATTAATTACTGTATGTGTATTTTTTAAATATTTATATTTTTAGTTAACTACAACATTCATAATTTAATATATTTATAGTTGTGGTGAAACAGAAAACAGTTTAAATAGCATATTTTTCAATTCTACAAACCTTCGTTGTACCTGCGGAGAAATATTTCCTGCTCCACCCTCTATATTAGTAGCCGTGTTGTTGATGCCTTCTTGGCTTATCTGTTGGATACTACCGCCACTTCCTCCAATCGCCTCGCTACTATTACCTGGTCTGTTGAAAGTGAAGGTATTATACAAGGTCTATTAAGATATATAAGGAATGAATATTTACGATTTGCTTTGTTCAAACAATTAATACTAAAATATAGCAATAGCAGAAATCTGACTTATTTTCACAACAACCCCATCATTCGAGCACCTATTTCTACCCTACCTCTTGTCCTCTACCGTCTCAGGCGAATACTACTAGTTTTCTATATTTTAATTTATTAATTACTATGTTTATATTTTGGAAATATTTATATTTTTTGATTTACTGCATCATTCATAATTTAATATATTTGTAGTAGTGGTGAAACAGAGAACAGTTTAAAAAGCATATTTTTTAATTCTACAAACCTTTGTTTTACATCCGGGGAAATGTTTTTCACACCACCCTCTATATTAGTAGCCGTGTTATTGACGCCTTCTTGATTTATCTGTTGGATACTACCACCACTTCCTGGCTTTACATCACTCTCTTGACCTGTCAAACATTTTTAGTTTATTATTTTGTCAGAAATGAAGAGATCTTGATGGCCTAGAGGCCGCATATTCCTCACCTATGGTATATCGTATGATACACGCGTTACTTCTAGAAGATTACCTTAACCTTTCGCTAGAGCTGAAAGGCGTGCTCAGGTTGGAAAAGCACGACACACTTCGTGGCGAGTACAAGTCTAAAACCAGGGCATACCGAAACGAGGTGCGCTTACGAAAGCGGAAGTCTTTGGGTGCATTGTTGAAATATTGCTGAAGCTTACTCTCGAAGCTTGAAAAATGACCTAGGGATATTCTTCACGAAGTTACCTGGAGTAAGTAAGTTGAAACCACAACAAGTGATTGCCGCGTCGAAGTGCGGAGCTGCCCAGAGCAAACACTCTGGAAGAGACAGCGAAGGTGTTCATTGCGGAAACCTCACCCAGAGATAATCCATCCCAATGTAATGAAGAAGAGGGATTCTACGGTATGCGCACCTGGTACAGATTTGTGCCCACCTCGGGACATATGAGATCTCCATGCAGCCGTGGACAATCCTACATAGTTATATCTCCTATATAGAAGATACGCTGTAGGAGGTATTCATTGATAGGGAATATTATCCAAGAAGCTAAAAAATTCCAACATCATGCTCCTTTACAAGGGAGGAGAGAAGGGCAAGCTATTATCCAAATCTTATAGGTCTACATTTCTTCTCCCTGTTATGAGCAGTGTTAGAGAATCTACTCATGGCGAGCCTACGACTTTACAAGAGCCAGCCATCCACGGCAGTACGGATATACATAGTTAGGAAACCACGGATACCCTGATGAGCGTGTGCAGTGACGTCCAAGAGGATGAGTAAAATTATGTTACGCTTCTTCGGTTTACCATTACCTCTGCCTTCAATAATGTTGGTTGACCGAGCCTACTCCAGCAGTTGCAGAAATATGAGGCTTCCAGCAACTTGTACGGTATATTCAGAAGCTATATTCAGGACCAAACATTAAAAAAATACGAGGTAGTTTCTTTGAAGTAGAAGAATCAATGGAAAGAGCTTGTCCCCAGGGTTCTATTCTAGGTTGTGCCCTGTAGAAATTAGTCTTTGACGAGTTATTGAGAGTATTGGAAGAGAAGTGGTTCCCAGCCAAGGCTTATGTAGATGATCTGGCTATTTTCGTGGCATTGAATAGCACAGCTAGATTAAAACAAGAAACTGAACGGTGCGCCAACTAGTAGAACAGTGGTGCGAGTAGGAGAAATCTTCAGGGACAAATAAGGCTGTTTGTGCGAAAATTGTTCAAATTTCCCTCGTTACGGCGAGTGATGGGGGCAGATCAGAAGATCTAAAAGGTAACACTTGCACTTGAGGGTCCTCAGGTAAGAAAGAGATGTAAGCTGGCATAAAAATAGTAAGCTATTTTGCATAATCAGTATAACCTACCAATCCATTAAAATACAGTCCACTGCATAAAAGTAGTATGTTTCCCATAATTAAAATTGGAAAGTTGCCTAAACAAAGGCTCACTCTATAATTATGATTAAACAAGGATCAAGAATACGTCCGAATTGTCACCTATCTCGGCATTAGGATTGGAAAAATGTGACGCTGTGACAATGTGACACGTCACTTTGACCTTTGACTATTTAAGAAGCAGGGTGACCCTAATTCTTAACGGACTCAAACGTATAGGCAGGACCTCAGATATTCAGCAACATTTATAAAGGTTTTATTGTGAGTATCCTGAGTTATGCGTCTCGTAATCTCTCGCATAGAGAAAAGTGTAGGTTGGCAACTGTTCAGCGAATGGTTCGGCTTCTAGTCACCAGATCGCACAGGACGGTGTATCATAAGGCGATACAGATCTTGGCAGGAGGACGTATCGAACTGAGAGAAGATTATTACAGGTACAAGGTTAGACGAGAATGAGTACGAGAAGAGAAGAGTACCTCCGAGTGAGAATAGAACAAGATCCTAGGAGCTGAAAGAGGATTTTTCGGAAGGATACAGTAGAAGAATGAAACCGGCTGTCGTTGACGACTCCAAAAGGTGCTATCCTGAGAAAGTACTTCCCCACCGTCGGATCGCGATTAAAAGCAATTTAATTCCTTCCAGACTACTGGATATCACAGATTCGCTCGGAACATAGGGGAGGAGGGGGGTTCCGTGCGAAGCTAGTTAAGCTTGGTGTAAACAACTATCCCTATGCCTAACTTGTGGGATGCCGGAGACAACTGAGCATATTTTACTTACGGAAATAGATCTCCCTCAACTAATGACTAAAGATAACTTTAAGTTCTTTAAAAAAATCATAAACGGGTGGAAAGAAAAGGTTGCACCAATCCCACTTCTCTCTGGGAAGACGAGAAGGAGCTGCAACAGGGAGGACGCCGGAATAAGAAGGAGTAAAGAGAAGAAAGCTGAACTCAAATTAAAAGCAGTACGAAGTTAAAGCAGAAAAATTGTAAATTTCTTTAGAAAATACAGCAGTTTGTTGATATGAACAGTAGCAGTCCGTGGTACAAAACCCATTTTCCCATCTGCTTAAAATTTCGTGAATAGTTTCATCTTATCGTAACCTACAACTATTTTATTTACGAAAACTCTTGGAATTTTCAATCTGGAGGGGGGCCACACTTTGTCTATTTAATTAGGAACTAAAAACTCGTAAAAACCCATTTGATTTCTACTTGGATCGTAAGATAATTTGGTCACAAAATCGATTAAAAAGGTGGTCTACAAAAATATTGGGCCGTTTGTTCTATATAACTTCGTTATTTTGAAAATTTGGGGTGTATGTCAGGCCAAACGGCTCTATATTTTTGAAGGCAACCTTTTTTCTTGATTTTGTGATCACATTATCCTACGATCCAAGTAGAAAGCAAATGTGTATTTACGAGTTTTTATTACCTATTTAAATAGGCAAAGTTTGCCCTCTTCTTCCCCCATCCAGATTGAAAAAGATTGAATTCCAATAGTTTTCGTAAATAAAATAATTGTAGTTTACGATGAGATGCAATTATTTACGAAGTTTCAGGCGGATATTAATAATTCGATCTAAAGAGGTCTGTACTACGGACTATAGCGTCCCTCTGCTGCAAACACTCGTACTGCCTTAGAGGCAGGGAGGGTGAAATAAATAAATAATATAGTTAAGTAAAATAAAAATCTTGACTGCATATATACTCACCATTTGTGGGCAGTATGGTCTGAAATACTAAAGCGCATATGAAGATGACTAAGACGGTCTTCATCTTGCCAAATTGTGGTGTCATTTGATAGATCCGCTTATATTTGTTACAGTTCTGTTTTAAGAGCAATGACGAAAGTATGCATATAATGGCAATTTAGACAGAACAGCTAACTTTTTAAAGGTAATTAAAGATAGTGGAAATAGCTATCGGTTTATGTTTTTCAGCTGATTTTTGTAAATAATCTATTTAACAAATACAAGTGATGAAGCTTCTTACTTTGCCACGACTATCAAAATAGCAATTTACTTGATAAGGGTTTAGCTCCTCCCATTCGAAAATATCCCACCAGTTTAATAGTTAACTAATAAGGACAGCTATCTCTGAACTTAAACTAAAATTATACTCGCTCATGATTCCACTTACTAAGATTATAGAAGTATATTATTAACACAATAAAAGCCATATTTGGATATTTTATTCATTTATTAAAAATGTCAAATTGTTTTGCTGTATTATCAGAAGTGTCCATAGTATCACAAAACCAAATTGTGATTAAAACACTTGATGTTTGTACATTGTTGGAAATATGTAGATTGATATATTTGGAACATATCAAATATTTCTTTTTATCTATTCACAATCATTATAGCAAACATTAGGCCGTGGTACAGACCCCTTTTTATCAAATTATTATTTTTTATTTTGTTTTATTCATTCTGTAAACTTGGACAATGGTTATAGGGAGGTAAGGCCACTTTCACACTGGAAAAAAAAACATATAAAATAAACAGACGCGAAATGACAACTAAATGATAATCAAAAAGTATATACAATAAATTAAATTAAATAACTTAAAGATAAAAAAAAAAACACATATACACTATTTAAAATCAGAGGAGGAAACTGCGAGGCAAACTTGTCCATCCAAACATGGAGGGAAAAGCATGACTCCGGGAGATCCCTGCACTTCTCTCTCAACCGCGTCACTGGTACTAAATCCAGTGGGGTCTGATCAAGAGCGCTTTACCCACATACACATTGAGTGGAGAATGTCGAAGGTAGTCGTTTGTCTAAGAGATGCCCAACATCACGGAATGTGTCCAAGTGAGGAAATGAATGGAATTAAAATAGATGAATAATACACTTATGTTTTTTTTATAAATATATATATATATATATATATATATATATATATATATATATATATATATATATATATATATATATATATATTATACGTAAAACGCTTTTAACACTTTTTGTTTTTTCACCATTAAATGCAGATCGGTGAATACAAGCTGAAAAAAATACTAATATATAAGGAAATCAATATTGCTAAATTAGTATAGTCCGTGGTAAAGACCAGTTTTTATCAAATTATTAACATTTTTCTCTCTACGAAAATTATCAGAAATGAGGCTCTTTGTCGACAAATTAACTAATTTAATGAAATACTGAAAACTCTTAAATACAACTATGCTTTCAGCTTGAATTGTAAGATAATCAGATTTTAAAAAAGTATATATTGACTACCAAAATTTGGCCTATATAACCTCTCGTTGGTTGACATGTTGGGGATGGAGATCACAGCAACCTTTTTTTCTCGATCTGGTCAACATCATCAAACATCAACAAGGCGAGATTAATAATATTAACTGTAAATAATATCTCATTATAAAGATGATGACATGTAGAAAATCTCCCTCGCTTACTGTACGCAGGTCCGATTTCGTGGTCAAATTATCTCATGACTCAAATGGAATGGAAATGGGTATTGATGAGTTTTTATTACCTCATTAAATTAATTAATTTAACGAGAAAACGTCCCATTTCAGAGAATTTTCGTAGATAAAAAACGCTGCAAATTATTTCACAATGGTTTATTATTTACAAACAATTATACATCTGAAGTAACATTACCTTCCGAGTTACAAAGAAAAAAACACAAAAGGTGATTCCAATTATTGGACTAAACTTCTCTAATCATTAGTAATATGCTAAAAAAAAAATAGCATTAGTTCAGTAACACATTCAAAATTTAAAAACCAAACCAAGGATATAACGTTTGGAGTAGAACATATAAAAAAAACCGGAGACCATATCTTTGCTCCTAACGGCCCGATTTTAACGATTTTTTTTTTTTGTTTTTTTAGAAAATTTCGTAAACTTTAAAAAAAATATATACAATATCAACAAAAAAGTATAAACTTTTCGAGTTATTCGTAACTTTGTTTCTTTTCGTTGAAGTATGTTATATAGATAAATGTAAAGTGCGTCGAGAAAATGACTTTAGCGAAGATTCATTGAAATCTGTACATTCGTTTTGCTACAGTCTATAGCAACGCAGGTTTTTCGGCCGCCATTTTGAAAATGAAATGCGGACAGTAATGTCGATGAAGGAGGATCATCCTCGGGAGACTTCAGATTTTATATCAAAATTTGAAAAAAAAAAATCGGTCCAGTAGTTTCGGAGAAAATGGGCGGACAGCGGACGAACAAAAAAAATTTTATTCGTTTTTCGAATTCTACGCGTCCTGAAACGTGAAACCTCAAATTTTGAAAGGGGGTTATGTTTTTGAATTTTCTGGCCAATCACAATGGTTGATTATTGAAAATAATAAACCAAAATTTGTAGGTTACAATAAGATAAAGCTATTCACGAAGTTTTAAGTTGTATAATTGTTCTAATGATTGAGAATAGACAAAAAGAAAGACTGGGTGAGTTCCAAATATATCAATCTATATATTTTCAACAATGTACAAACATCATGTGTTTTAATTAAAATCTATCTAGATTAACAATAATCGGTATTAGATTATTCCCCCTTCTTTCTGAATTCACTTTTTAATTACGCAGCATATAACTCTTTTCACTAGAGTTACAGAATGGACTTAATCCGTAACTAATAATAATAATAATAATAATAATATTAATTTAACTTTTATTTTATTTAATATGCCAATTGGTGAATCATGTGTTATCTTTTAATTTCTCACGCCTCAAATCATAAAAGCACAAAGCCTTTTTGATAGCCAGGTCAAGCTATCTGTGATAGCTTAGAAGTAGTTATCTTAAAGGCTATGACTGGACACAACAAGATCTATTATCAAGACTTAAGGAACAATAACAGATTTCAGCAAGAGGCCCCTTTCTCTCATATCAATACTAAACAATAACAATATCAATTTCTAATAACTTTTCAAATGTTAATAACTTCATTTGCCGTCTTCTTCCGACTTCTCCCACTCTTCCCTTCACCCCTTGATATTCTTGGGAATATAAACCCCATCCTTCTCTGGACTAATCACTCATGTAGTTGCATCCCTGATGTAATAATCTTAACTGTAGGAGACCTGGAGTGAACTCATGTAGTCAACCCATATATCCATAGTATATTACTCTGTATGTTAGATGCCATTTGTAACATTATGAATTAAAGCATTAGTTATAAAGTCTTCATTGCCTCCGATTCGTTAACTTGGGACATGTCAGTACGTCACGCCCGGAGAACGTAATTTCATATAATTACTTTTTTTTATTTATACTTAAAATAAATGATAAGACTATGAAATATATATGTCTTCGTTTATTTATATATAGAGCACAAAGAAAAATACAAAATTACGAACAAATAGAAAAGAATACAAAAAAAATATGGAAATATCGAATTAAACAATTATAAATTTTACAAACATTTTACGAACAATTATAAAGAGTACAAAAAATATATATATTTTACTTTCACTTACGTATATTATATTATGTATAATTACGTATATTATGTAATATATAGTAAGGGTAAGTATTGCAATCGAGAAAATTTTTTAATCTGAGTTACAACGGAAATACACGTTTTGAGGTACCTTGAGTCGAAATGACCAAGTCCCGGAAAATGGTCTGTGTGTTTGTACGTTAGCAGTCCAGCTCAAAAACGAAAAGTCCTACGAAACTGATATTATGTATTTAAGATAGGTATATGCCTTAGATGTGACGGCAACTTTTCCCTTAAAATCGGCTAACCAGAAGTGCCACTTTATATCGACGCTGGAACACATTTTCACAATTTTCTCAAAAACGGCTCTAACGATTTTCATTAAACTCAGTGTATCATTGTATAATTAAGTAGTATTTAATATCAATTAGGTCTTATCCCCATTGATGTCACTTTACAGGGCTTAAATGCCCAATGTTCATATACGTCTTCCTCTAAAGTAACCCTTTAATATGGTTTATTTAAAAAAGTTAAGTCATTTCACATTATTCAAAGATACGAAAAAATGCTAAATATAACTTTTGAAAAAAATTGATAAGTTAATAAAGGAGAAAAAAAAATAAAAATGCAGAAAAACCTGCGTTGCTATAGACTGTAGAGCCTAAACGAATATACCGATTTCAATGAAACTTCGCTAAAGTCATTTTCTCGACACCCTTTAAATTTGTCTATGTAACATACTTCAACGAAAAGAGCTGGAAAAAAAGTTACGAGGGATGGTGAAATTAAATTGCGAATAATTTAAAAAGTATGCACTTTTTTAAGGGTATTGTGATAAGATGTTTCAAATGTATTTCCTAAAAAACAAAAGAAGTTTCATCGAAATCGAAGCACTATTAGTAGAGATATCGCGATTTTTAAATATTTTTTATTTAGATACACAATAAAAAATAACAATTACAGAACAATGAACAAAAGTACACAAATAAAATAGAAATATCGAGTTTAAAAAATTAAAATGTATATACATGAAAATTTAAAACTCAATTTCGGTGTGATATATTTTAAAACGATTTTCTCCACGTCTCAAATTCATGTCGAATCGCTGACTAATACCTTTGTTGTACGGAACTATACATCCCACCTGTTCCAGGGCTCAGCACATATTTCAAGGACGTCCTAGCCGTACACGATATAGTTTACGTTTGACCTATTTATACGTTAAGTCAGTAACAGGTTAAGTCAGGGGTCTCCAAACGTGGGCCATAAAGTTTGAAGACCTCTGCCTCAGCATAGCATCGCATTAGCTTACCACTCATTTCCACACCATAAAAGAGGGATCCTTTCTTATCTTCACTTACCTATATATGAAATATATAGTAAAGGAAAGTAATGCGATCGTCAAAATTTTCGAATCTCAGTTTTCAACGGAAATACGCGTTTTGAGGTCCCCTTAGTCCAAATAACCAAGTCACGCAAAATGGTTTGTGTATGTATGTGTTTGTGTTAACAGTCTAGCTCAACAAAGAAAAGTTGCAC